TGGCATATGACATTGAGCCAATCTGTTTATTGCGGATGTGTTGACTGGTGAAGTATAGCATAGTTGATCATTTTCTGTGGTTCTTCTTTGTGATAGCTGGAGTTCTTGAAGTCGCTTCTGATAGAACTGAATTTGCTCTCGGAGATATTGGATTTCTCTGACTGAGTCGTTGTGATGTCAAGAAGTTGGAGGCAGTTGTATTGATGTTGCATAATGGTCGTCATGGTAGTAGTTGTCTCTTCGGTATGAAGTAGTGTATTGTAGTGGAGGATAACAATCGTAGAAGTAGACATCTTCTTCTGACGTGTTGATGCCAACATTGGTTTGTAGGGTTCTGGATAGCGGTTCCATCCTAGGAAGTGTTTAAGTGTCTAGTAGCTGGCCATGTCTGAGGCTGACTCTTCTGTGACAATTTCAGGAGGTTTGACAATATGAAGGAATCTTCTTTCTTCATAATATGGAGCCAATATACGGACAAATTTTGATAATCTTTTATTTCGGAGCCAATATACGGACAAATTTTGATAATCTTTTATTTCGGAGCCAATGTACAGACAAATAGTGGTATGCCAAGTGTAGTGCCTTTTAAAATAAAAATTTAGAATTTATATTATAAAGATAGATCGAAAGCTTTCTGATTATACACACTATATTGCCTAAAACGTGTGTTAACGAAATAGGCACTGTCGGACGCTGAAAATAAAGTTGTAATTAGTTGGAAATGACTATGTACTTCATAAATCAATAACTTTGGTTGCTATTGATCTCTGTACTTGTGATTTATGTTTCTGGGTAAGGGACTCTTTGGGAATTGGCCTTTATATGAAATTAAAGAGGTAAAATAGGCCTGGCTGGAAGATAGAAAAGAATTTTACAACTCTAGGATCATATATGACACGCTTGTGCTTCCAGCTGCCAGAACAGTATAGCCAGAAATATATAATCACCTATTATTGTATTACTAATAGAACGATTACCCCATATAACATCCAGCTTGCCGGACTGCCGCAAATGTATAGCCGGAAGGATGTCAATGTATTCACCGTCCTACCTTATATAAAATTAACTGAAGCTTAGTTAGCTGTTCAGGCTTGTGACAAGCTTCAACCTTCAGGCCGCCCCTATCAGTTGAAATAGAACAGATCACCCAGTAGCAGTTGAAAGAAGAAAAGATAGGTCAAGAGTGTTTACTGATAATTGACTTCACTATATTGCTATTAATTGATTTTGTATTCAAAAATTTACTTCGACAAAAATCTTTATTTTCAAAAATACAAAAATTTACTTATTAAAAATACTGTACACCTGAGTTGAGAAAATTTACTTATTTTCAAAACTATCAATACAAAAATGTACTTATAGAAAAATATTAAAAATAATGTACTCCCGAGTTGAGAAAATTTACTTATTTTCAAAACTATCCCGATTCTGACACCATTGTTGTGGTGATTAAAAAATATGTTAATAAGTGTTTCTAAAAATAGAAGCAGGCCTCTATCCCACTTGGCACCATTGTTGTGGTGTTGAAAATGAAAAGCCTTAAGTTTTCTATAAATAGAATTTAGTTACTTATTACCTAATATTTACTTTTTAATGTTCTTAGTTTGCTCAGGAGTACTCTTTAATAGGGAAAAATCTAATCGTCAGGATGACACCACCCTTTGAATGCAAAGGGAAATAAAACACAAATTTGAATAAATTTAAATCAACCAAATTTTTAATGAACTAAGTTTTTATTTACACTTAACTAAAAGTTACTTAAAACTAAACAAGTTATTAATGTGTACTAAAAATGAAACAGTTCTTATTTAACCAAAAATATGAAAATCAGAATAAACTAGTTGAATAAAAGATTTAAACCAGTTAAAAGTTGTTTAAACTGTAATCACTAAAAATATGAAAAATAACCTTAATGATTCTGTGCTGTTAAACTAATAAACCTAAATAGTAGCAAGCCCTGTTTTAATCTATAGCAACAAAAATAAAGCTCTAATGATTCAAGATGGCTGCCACTTAAAACAAAGAAAAGATATTCATTAATCTTAATTAATTCTGTAAAAATAATTACTTAAATTACTTACAAATTTATCAAAAATGTTTCTGTGAATTTAGATAATCTCTAGGTTCATTTAAATGCCAAAGTGCCTAAAATAAATTAAATAATTAATTAATTAACCTTAGAGAGCTTTTAGAGATGTTACTTTTCCAAAAATTAGCAGCAGAATGACAAAATTGTCTAAGATGCTTGTATAAATGTACTTCTGAATCCCAGAGGGAGCTAGCATCTACCTACAGGTGGCACTGTATGTAACAACTTATCTGATTGGTCAAATTACAGCCAACCAGAATTTACTTAACAAATGCTCTAGGCTTATCAGTATTTTACATAACTATTCTAAAAATAGATCATGATTCATGGAAAATTTTGCAGCAGCATTATTGACCATGATTATAAAAATAATAAAGTAATGAACTTTTACAAAAATATTCTAAGCAATAAAACTAGAAACTAATATCAACTAAACATATTTACAAACATATATAAATGCTAAATCAGTAACTTGTATCTCACTAAATTTAAATATCAGAGTAATTGAAAGTAGAACCATTCTCTATATATTGTATGTAAAGAGTCTTAGGCCATGCTAAGTTAACTGTTAAAGAATGTATCAATAAGTTCTACAAACTATAATCAACATTAAACAAGTGCATGATAAGAATGAAATGTCTATAAACAATACATGTTCAATATGACTAAACTTTAAAATAAACTTAAAGCTAAATTAAAGTTTAAACCCTTAATATTTCTTGAAAAATATTCCTTAAGATTATACATGTTAAACTTCTTGAGTAATATTATGCAATATTATATAATAATTATATAACCTGTTGTAGTTGGAATCCAACTTTACAACACATGTAATTACTTTATGCAAAAATGTGTTGCATTAAGTTGCATTGTTGAACAAAATGCTATTGAGTACATATATATGTTTGTACTTATGTTTTCATTGCACAGCAGTCTGCGCCATTTTGAAAATTGTTAAGGCATTTCAGTACTTTAAATAGGTTTCACAACATTCAGGTCGCACAGAAGTTGTGCAGATAGGTTCCCGCACATGGGTCGCACGTCATTCTACTTTTGCACACCACGTAAGCTGCAAGTGCAGACAAAAGGGTGTATAAGCTGGGAATTTTCTTTTGGTTGGGGTCCTTTGAGTTTATTGAAGTTGAAGAGATGGTGTTGTGGAGTTGAGTTGATGTAGTTTAAGTGTTTAATTTTCTTTTAAATAGATTCTTGCAATAATATAATAAAGATTTTTATTAATTCTATAATCATGGGCTTCTTATTTATTGTACAAGCATAGAGTTCAAAATGATAGACATTTACAGCGAAAGCGTATTAAAACAGAGTTCTTTTATAAAAAACACCAACAAAAAATAACAGAAGACACAATTATATGACCGAGTGAACCGTGTACCGAAATTTTGCTGCTTTATTAACTTCGGGACACCTCGCCGGCTGTTCCTAATTTTAGCTTATCCGGACAATAGCATATCGATATGTTGCTATTGTTCGCAGATTCTATTCGACCAATTAAATGATCCTTTTTTCCTGACATTTGAACAATCAAACAAATCCTTAACAGCTGCAAGAAGCAAATTTGTTACCATACTTGGACAAAAAAAACAAAAACAAAAAACACAACAACATCCTTTTGGGCAATCCCTTTTACAATGGTTGAACTGATATTGACATTGAACTTTAAATTACATTGACCATTAAGGTCAAATTACCGAAATTCTCTTGTTTACCCCTGTAACTGGGTATAACGTTTTTTATTTTTTTTTTTTTTCATTTCAGGTCCCGAAGGTAACCCCATTTATTACCTCCGGCGCATTACTTTTTAAGGGACGGAGGTCCATCCCTTAACAGTCTTACAATAATGTGTGCAATATAGTTAAAACATGAAAAGTTAACATAATATTTACATAAAGTAAATTACGGCAAACATTTATTTAAAAAATTGAATATGTAAAGGAGGTTATAAGTTCAAGACACTACATCTACATTATGCTTACTTTTATCTATGTTTATAAGTAATACACAAGCTAATGATACTAATTGTGTTAGCCAGGAGGCTTGAAATAGAAAAATTAGACTGCCAAAAAAGGTGATTATTAACAAAAGAAAACAACAATATAACACAACAAAAACTGGCTATATCCTTGCTATTGATAAATTAATTAACTTCATATTAAGGCACAACATCGTTTGGGCCTGGACCTTTATTCATAACAAACTCAAATCGACCTGACTCATGTATTACTTTGACCTTCAAATTATTGAATTGTCATTGATTATTGCTATAATAGTTGTAACTTGGTACTAAACCAATGGATTATCTATGTACTTGTACAAAATAATCTTTTGGACAAGACCTTTAAGTTGAACTGAGTTGACCTTTAGTTTTAAGTGACCCTGACCGTTAAGATCAAATTATTGAATTTTGTTGAGGTTGTCATAACTCTGTAATTTTTGTACGGATTTAATTCATACGTGGACAAAACAAACTTTGTGACCAAATGGGACATGTTGGATAATTTAGATATGACCGTGACCTTTAAATGGTTTGACCGTCAAGATCTAATGATAACATTTTGTTTATGTTTTAATAACCTTCTCATTTATTAATAGAAATGATTCATATTTGGACATTATAACAAGTGTGACTAGACACACTTATTGAAATAAAAAAGGAAAAACTTAACTTTAACATGAAATGTTTATTGTATAGTCCCACTGGTCTCTTTCTTCATTCGACATTTTATCACTTACTGAGTAGGAATACATCTTCTGAACTTATAATTTCAATATAAAAGATAAATTTCAGACTTTAATCAGAAGGTTACATGTTTTTAAATACATAAAACCGACTTATTAATACAATGTAGTTATCATTAAATCTAAAGCTTGTCCTCACTTTTATCAATTTCAGGAACCAGACGGAAAATGGGAAAGTATTGCATACTGCAGTCCTGTTTTAGAGGCATGGGGACGTTGGGATCCTGAAATAAGGCATTCTGGTAAATATCTAGAAATACATGTAACACTTTGTTCAACACTTGCAGATAAAATGATATTATTTCAGATATAAGTATTAAACTTGGATGTTTCTGTGTCTGAATAAGTATAACTAAGAGTTAATTTGTTCTGTACATGCAGCTAATATATGGATTATGTATCATAAATCTTACAAACTAATGCATATTTAGCCAAACTACAGGAAAATCAAATAATGTATGAGTACAATGTACCGATATGATTTTTGTTTTATATAATAAAACTATCAACATCATTCTCATATTTTTAAGTTGGCCAGGCTCTCGGTACCTTCTCCGGTCGTAAAGAAAGAATAGAACAGATCATTGACTACATGACAGGTCGTATGATACAAGTGACATCAGAAGACTTGTTTAGTTTAATACGTTTAGCTGACATGCTGCAAATTGAGGAACTGTATATGTATTGTAAAGATCGCATAAAAAACCTTGCACTAACTAAAAGCAACTTTTACAAAGTACTCCAAGTGTGCTCTCTATACGGATTCGAACATGAACAAATTGATGAATTCATTAGATGTAATCTAATAGAACTATGTAAGGAAACTGATATCCTAAAGATAGATGCAGCATCTGTAGATATGCTTCTGACAGGAAACGATCTGGGTTATTGGCCGATGCAAAGCCGATTTGAAATGGCAAGAGACTGGTGTGAATTTCATGGAATCTATACATTCTTTGAACAATGGTTTGACTCCTTAGATTTGAACAAAATGGAAGGACACTACTTAAACAAAGTTGTCAAAAGAGACTACTTTGTAAGGATGGCACCTAAATGTTTACATAGAGTAGAGGATCACCTAACTTTCAGGACAGATTCATCAGTACCATTTGTTTTCATCCTCAACGACAAGCGAACTGGATCAAATGTCGTTGGATTAAACCTTGAAGATATGAATCTTTATAGATTTAAATTTCCAGAAAATATGATGAACGCTACTTGTGTTCCTTGTTTGGACGTACCTAAAGAAGTGCTTTCCTTTGAGGAATCAAAACGGCGCATATATTTATATGACATAAACAGTGGTATTTGTAAAAAGAAGTCCATAATTTCCAGGGGGAATTATCCATCTGATATAAGCCACATATTGGAAACAAACAAACGCTTGATAATTATTTCAAAGGGATTGTGTTCAAACGATGATGGTAGTGCAAGATATCCGGGTATGAAAAAGCAGACATTGGGTTCAGTACTGTATCAAAGTGTCAACGATAATGGAAAAGTAATTGAAATAGAACCGCTAATGTCATTAGCATTTCTCGTGAGCTGTGCATGTTGCAGCCAATCATTTATTGTTATGTCAACAGCGACACATTCAAAAAGGTCAAACTTGTACTGCTTCAATCTTGAAACAAACAAGATGATGGTCATTAATATACCTTTCGATGAAGAAGGTTACAGATTCTTTGAGAGAACAGTGGTAAAATGTTTGCTTCCTGTGCATGACAAGATTCTTGTATTGACCAGGTTAACGTCCATTTTGGTGTCAATAGACCAAGAAACGGAAACCTACAATACTGAAATTTCAAATTTCACACCATCCGAAAAGGGAAATCCTCAATACATGTTTGTGTCTGATCTTTTGGTAGAATTGAATGCAAAAACGGTTCGCCTTTATCGTAAAAGTAAGGAACGAAGTTATTTTGAGATGTTTCGTATTTTGAGCTAAATAGATTGAACAGTTTTTTCAAACCAGTAACATGTGCCTATGTCAAACGAACAATACCCGTCTGTCACATGTTGTGCCCCCATTGTGACCCAAATGCCAAGGAAAAGGAGGAGGAAGATAAACGCAGACAAGAGGAAGAAGAGAGGCAAAAGAACAGAATAGTTGTATGGAATAGAAATGACTCTGATTATTTTTATGACTATTCTTACTCTTCTGATGATTACAATTACAGTGATGATTATCACTATGATTCCGTGCCCCATGGGGAAATGAGGATATGGGATGCCAGTGCAGACGAGTTTGTTATAGTTTTAGTTTGAAAAAAAAACCACAATGACTTCTGTATGAAATAGAATAATATTAACTTATGGTCAAACAAACAACAAAAAAGATAAATATGTTTTAATGCATGACCCATGCATTTTTCTTTGAGAAGGGCTTAATCATTATTTGTAAGAATTTGCTGCACAACCCATTTGCTTTTGTTATATACTTATGATTTATACATGATTTTAAATAAATGACCTGCATTTAAATTAAACATAATTTTAACATAATTATTGTCAGTCATAATATTTATAACAGTTAATTTAGGTTTGATAGTCTAACATAATTTGTCTATCACTTTTATTTTATTTACATCAATATGTTATATAACTTTCAAATGGTTCAAATCGAAAGGGACCATATAAAATAATAACTTTATGTTTCTGTCTAATGTTTCATTGAACCAGCGAGTTGAATACATGATCATTAAACAGGTACATTGCATAAGTTAGGAGGCAAACGATGATTGAGGTTCTTCCCATGTTTATATGTGTTTAAAATGATAACCTAAATTCTATATATGCATCCTGTATTTCTTTCATTTGACAAAGGAATATCTGTTTTTATCGTATCTGATAAACATTTTCGTGAAATATCAGGCTATATATTCCATCAACATTCAAATATAAAATTAACCTCATATTTTCTCATTAAGAATTACATGTAAGACGCTATGTTGTTTTAATAGTTTGATTTGAGTGTATTTCATGTACAATTTCTTGCCTGTGTTGTATATAGAATACCAAAGACATTCATTCTATTATTTACAATAATTTAAGCGACTGAACAAAAGAAGACTAATATATCTGTCTGCAGACAATTGTGTTAAAAAATGCAACTGCTAAAATTATAATGCATTACCATTACCTGGCGATGTATCTCATTAAAATTAACAATTTCACTGTTTTCAAGATGATGTATAACCATTATGACATGTCTTGGGAACTTAGTAATTTATATGTTTTGAATTTAAAATGCGATTATATTGTCTTTTATATGAGTGATATAAAACATCAAGGGCCATTTGCATAATTAAAGTTTTGGTCACGATTAAGGCAATATCATAGTCTTACTAATCTCGAGTTTATTTCTCGGTTGCATAATGAAAAGTTATATCTGGTTTTAGCTAGTCTAAGACTATCTGTCCAGAGGTTAACAGTTCTTCAGTTTTAGTTACCTTTCAGGTAGTATAAAATTGAATTTGTGTCGTTTTACTGCATAAGTTTCCCCGCATTGGTTGATCTTTATTACTCTCAGAATGGTTATTTATAAGATCTTAAACGTGCACAAGTAAAACACAAGTAGAGTTTTTGATGCTAAAGCATATCAAGTCGCCGGATAGAACTATGATTGTATTATCATAAATAAAAGAAAATATCAGTTTAATGTTTCGAGTATAAAGAAAAGAGAAACAATAAGTTGAGTAATGTTTATTCATAAACACGTTTTCATGTACTTGCCACATTTATATCTTTCTTGCTATAAACTTTGTAAAAGAGTTTTATGCATTAAATTTATGTTATGTTATAATAAAACATATTTGAAGCAAAATTTGTCAAGAAACTGTTATCATTATTAAATAAGCAAGTATTGTTTGGCAATACCCGAGACTTATTAATTTTCGGGAGGTGTTTCGTTAGTTTTCATAACTTTTTATAATTAATGTTAACGATTTTATTGTAAGTATAATGACATGTATATATCAATTAATACTGCTCGACGGCCTGGTGGTAAGTATGACGAAGTTGTAACCTAGTAGGCGCAAGTTCGAATCTAGGATAAATCCTGTTTGTAGTTTTCATTAAAGATCCTGTAACACATTTTTTTCATGGTTTTATTTCATAAATATGATGTTCAAATTAAGATTTGTCAATATTGTTAGTTCAAATAAGCATTGTTTATGAAGATATTACCCAATATAACATTTCATGTAATTAAAGGGAGGTAATTAGAAATTTATTTTCCATAAATTGTAAGTCAAATTTTCCAATATGAAAAGAATGCATGTAATTGATTGATTAAATATAATGTGAACAAATATTTGCAGTACACATTTTACATATCCTTTGATGTTTGAAAATTGTTTTATTTGCATAATTATTTACAAATATAAGTTTTGCAAGTGTGGTATTCATACAGTAATAATATCAATCACAAAGCATACAGGATCTTTAGTATATCTTTTAACTATATGAAACATAAGTTGATAATCGTGTTTTTCATTTCTAGCACTTTTTTATTTATAATTTTGATAAATGGTCAAATTTTGCAAAATACAAAAATATCATAAAAGAAAACATAAAAAATGACTTATCGAACATACAGTCTTTAATTTGAAACTAACTGAAAATCTAACACCTTGTCATCGAGGCTTGTAAAGCAAGTGATATGCTTGTAATTCTACTTGTTTTTCTACTTTAAACATATACCGTTGTACCATATATTGAAATCCGTATGGTTTACTAAATACCGAGAAATAATTACCTATCATTAAATATTTGCAAAGTGGCTATGAAAATATATATGCTTCATTATTGCATAAAACAATGCAATTTTACTGTAAAAGTGGTGTCTGCATAAAAAAATATTCTTATCGAAAAAACATATAAATTAGTTGAAATCAATATTCCCGTTGTTACATACGATATAGTTAACGTTTAATTGCCTTTCAGTGCAACACAAAGATAGTTTATTAGTCCAATACGATTACGGCCCCGTACCGTCATACCGAGATTTTGTAATTATTCATACAAAATTACTTTGATTTGCATTTTATCAGCTTCTATACCTTGTGACAACCATTCACAAGTTACCTGTATGTCTGTTTTATCAGCCATTTGTGACTATTAATAGATTTTAAAACAATAACATACAACGTGTAGTCACGTGATTCTTACAAAGAAACAGGGAGAAATAGTTTATAACTAAATAAAATAATAAAATAGAATAGGTCTCATAAGATATAAACACCAAGATAATTTAAAGTGTCATTTTAAATATCATGCATGATTTATTTATCATAAAATGGCAATGCTGGACAGTTTGAAATAAGTAAAAGTATCCCTAAATTCAATGACTTATCCATAGGGATTCATTTTATAAAAATTGTAATGTTGCTTTTTTAGATGTCAATATTTGAATATTTCATTTCCTTGAGCAACGTTATTGTATGTTTGATTTTTTGAGATTACTGAAAACGATTGTAGACTTTAATTGTTCAGTAATTGGTATGCTTTTATTTACAATTTTTAAGACCTTCTCCTAACCATAGGTATAATATTAAACTGTTACAAATTTAGTCGCCGGTTTCTACAGGCGACTTATGATAACTTGTTTGTTTAATAATAATTGAGCCGCGTCACGACAAAACCAACATAGTGCGTTTGTGACCAGCATGGATCCAGACCAGCCTGCGCATCCGCGCAGTCTGATCAGGATCCATGCTGTTCGCTATCAGCTTCTGTACTTGTAAAAGGGTTGGTAAGCGAACAGCATGGAACCTGATCAGACTGCGCCGATGCGCAGGCTGGTCTGGATCCATGCTGGTCACAAACCCATTATGTTGGTTTTATCGTGACGCGGCTCATATGTAGTTACATATATTAAGCAATCTGAGTTTTCTTGTTTTGTCATATCTTTGTTTTTGATTTTGTGTTACTTACAAAAAAGAGACAATTGTTAAAGTTTTGCAAAGTACGATACTAAGTACTCAAGTTGACTTTTTGTTCAAGAGGGATAAAAATCCCCATGACATCAATTAAGGTTGTAAATGTGAAGCACATTCTGACTTCTTGAAAAAGAAACAACAAATATATGTATGAATAATAGAAACCTGCGATTTGCAGAGCAATCTCTCAATACTGTTACACAAGTAAAGCAATTTAAGCCATTTGGCCCTCTATATCAATAACGTAAATACTTGTAAACGTTATACTTGGCAGGATGATAATGAAAATACAAAAACAGATTACTGTAATAACGATTACGGTATGATTATGATAATAACACACAGTAAGAAAACATTTTGATAAATGTTTATGCTACACAGTATTGTGTTTTTACAACATATTGTCGCAGTTTCATATATAGCAGTGATAATTATAGCCATGATGACTATATTATTTACACTTTTAACCGTGCAAGAAGTTTTGATAATTATGCAAAGGTACGATAATGAAATATTATGGCAGATTAAAATGACTATGGGATAATTATATTGCGGCAGTAAGATAATGGTAAGACAACAGTAGGATATCATGACAATTACATTGTGAAAATGCGAAAGTACGATTGTGTAAATTGGGAAACTATTTTGCATTAACATTATCGTTATGTCGTTTTATGGCATCTTCAGTATCGTGCTGTTCTGTTACCCCTATGATACTGTCATATTATCATCATTCTAGTATCGTGATTTTGTTATAATACTGTTGGGTACCATGTTTAAGACCAACACCACGGTGGGTAATCGTTTCGGGCTGATTTGGAATATTTCCCCGTTCCTGAACTGATTTGGATTTATGGCACCGGATTGATTAAAATAAAATGTTTTTTTTAGCTTGACAAAGAAAAAATAAAAGATAAACACATTTACAACTGTTAGTCTTTGAATATTCTACTTGCACGGAACATCGCAATGTTTAAGGCATTGATATACAACTTTATAAGGGTTGTTCACGGTTTTAATCAGTTGGAATCGAAAAACCATGTCAGCAAAGTAGTTGTACACATAAGCAAAACAGTGCCAAAAAATCAGTATTAATTTTGATTTTTCAGGTATTTAACGATCATATTATAGAAAAAATCATTCCTCGGTAATTTAGTGGTTTTAGTAAAATGTTTTGTCCAGTAATGAATTTGTATGACATACTTTTATGACAACGTCGTATTATGAGTGTACGCCGAGTGCCGGTTTTTTTTTGGCCGAAGGATCGCCAGAGACTTAAATATCAAATATAGCTATGTGCTATAACTAAGGATTTAGGAATTATTTAAGCTAATTGTACTACTATTGTCTTTATCTATAGATATAAAAATAACATCAAGTACATATATTGAATGTAAGAGAAAAAGCACGAAGTCTAACGTGTACACTGTTTTAAATAGTTCAAAAGTTATTTGCTTTTAGAAAAACAAAACATAGCCAGGTATCTCTCTTGTAAAAAAGATGGGTTTTATATTCTTTTGTAACAAGTTAAGTTTCATCTTTGTTATTTTCTTTTGTTTCACCATAACTTAACAAGAGATATAATCAAGGAAAATATGCTTCAAAATGATCTGTTTGACTTTAATACAAACACAACAGCTTAAAGTTTTAGTGTAACGAGATTTTATCGTATGTAGTATCGCACGATCATTTAGCTTCCTTAAAATATTTTTTAATGCGTATTATGTCAATGTTGTAGACAATAGATATTGTCTTTAACATTTTTGTTCTCAACTCTAGTCTTTCAATTTCCATTCGAAATATTTAAGTTATATCATGACGAAGTTAAATGCCACACGCACATAAAGCATGTTGGTTTAAACATAATTTATATATTCAATAATTGTATACATGTAATATATATATATTACTCACTTAAAAATAATATACTGATTTATCGTAACAAGGTAAAATATAAAATGACATTCCATAGAGCTAACTCACTCCCTACCGCCAAGTTGCAAACAAGATCTTTATTTTGCATATAGATTTAGATGTAAAAAATGAATTAAATGTTCACTGATTTGATTCTTCTGAAAAAAAAAAGGATTGTTATATATTGGACAATTTCTTATCCTTATTTGGATTTTGACGAGGTTTATTAGCATTATAACGCTTAACTCAAGCTGAAAAAAGAACTTGTTTATATCATATTTTTACTCCCTTTCTTCACAATTGAAGTTTTGATTGTGCATAAAAAGGTAACGCATATTGGAATAATGTAACACCCTAAGCATACCTGTAGAATCAATTAGCAGCTACGAATAATGTTGATCGATCTACGCCCAAATTAATGATTTCATTTTTTTTTGAAACTTTTTCTTTTTATACGCCCGTGCGTATTGGTAGGTACGCCGCTGTCAGTTACGGCAACAATTATTTGTTGATGTCGTGTTAGAATCGAATAATATATCCAAATCGGTGATTTTATCGCTTGATTTCCTCGTGATATACACTCAAAGTCAATAAAAGGAACAATTTCAAATCAGTAACAGTCAACATTTTATTTATGTTATTTTTATTACTTTTATATATCTCTTACTAATTCAACATATTAACTATTTGAAAAAAATAGTGGGTCACTTTAACAATTGAACACGTTGAGAAAAACATCAACTTAAAGTACCACCAAAAATACTGTGTCAGGGATACGTTAACGTAAAATGAGTCGCACATTAAACATTGAAATGTAACACCAATTTATTCTTTAGGTGGTTCATTATTATAAGTGTATATTCAATTAACAAGCAAAATACACAAAACATATTTTGAATGTAATAAAGTAAACGTTTATAAGGCTTCAGTTTTTCATTATATTGATTTTTATAAGAAAACAAATATTCCTTTCAATCACAATGTTATGATTTTATGTTTGGTGTTTCTATAACAATTAAAAAAGCTTAAACATAAACCTTGATCTTTAACGAAAATATAATATACGAAAGTATAATATACAGCCAATGTTATATTTACAATAAATTATCTTCTTTTTGTATGTTTATAAAAGGGTCTAATGTTTAACGTACCTGAGTAAAAAAAAAATTAACACATATATCAACTAGAAAAGATATGACACAAAGTCCAACGTTAATAACACTAAAACTTTAAACATCACTTCCTATAAATGTTGCTTTTTACATCTTCAACATCATATTAAGATATCCATTTATAAAATTATTTGAAACCAACTATAAAATGTTCAATATAAAGTAGCCAAAATGTATATGTAAGTCTATAAATATAACTCAATCATTTGTTTTAGTACATGAACACTTGTATTGATTTTTTTAAATCTTTTTTTGAACAATTAAAGAGAAACATTTATACATTATTCAACGAATAACCATATTTTCCTTATAAGGATGAGTGTTAACGTACCTGACATTAAAATTTTTCATAATGTATATTTGTAAATGAACTGTTACAAAACTGTAAACTGATGATAAAAACAGTTCTAACAATGTGCTACGCTGCTTCAGTATGATTTCCTATGTATGCGAATAAATAACTAAGTATTTTGATGTTTAACAGTCTAAATAGTGTCTATGCTGTGCACATGCTAAAGATTTGTATTTGATGCATAAAGCTTAGTCGCTGTCGTGACCAAGATACTCGTAGTCCTCGGGGTTTAATCGAAACTGTCTCCGACTTTTGCTACATGCTGAAGGCTCATCAATTATTCGCAATATTTGTGAAATATTGATATTCTGAATATCCGGTTTGTTGGGCCACCTAAACAAAATACAACCAGCTTTTGCACTCGCTTCCTCAATGAAAGAGACATATGCGATCATTTTAATGACATCAATCGTAAGTATATGACATGGGTATGTAGCGCCTTCCCAATTGATGAGAGCATACTTTCCGGCAGCCGGAGTATCATCAACTTGAGTGATTCTAATAACATCAGTGTTAGCAGTCTCAATTTCTTCATTTGATGTCTTTATAACTTTGCATGCATTATCGACTTTTTCAGGTGACTGACATTTTCGTTTATTGCTACTAGCACATGGTTCAACTTTATCATGTGAACATTTGTCTCTTGACACTTCTGTCCAGTTTCCACACGGAGATCCAAGAAGGCAAGTTTCACAATAGCAAGAAACACTTGCAGTATACAATATATTTCCAATAGGAAAAACTGCATGTAGTTTCATTGTGCCTGGGACTGTTCCTTCAAGTTCCGTCACAGTGGCATCATATTCAGCTGCTGAATAAAATACATATCTAATACCCTTTTCATGGTTTGAAGCCCATCGGTAGAAGTCAATGGCATCTTGTATATTGACCTTGCCTTGTTTGCACGCTTGCCTTTTTGCTACACCACCCAGACCATCACACGGGCCTTTCCCGTGTCCAGATTCAAAATAATTCCACCTAGCAGCTACATTGAAAAGTTCTGGGTGGTACTGAACAATATCTATTATTCTGTTTGCTGTTCTTAAAGCTTTAGATCTTCTTTTTTCTATTTCATTTGTAACTACATTTTCTTGTTCACTTGTCTAAATCTCTGACGGTTTATTTCTTTGTCTTTCTCTACTTTTGCGTTTCCATAGTTTTTTTTTCTCTTTGCTCAAACTGCTTTTCTTTGCTCAAAGCTATTATGAAACTTTGTAGATTTAATGAATTGTTATTTTTATCAAAAATGTTCACCAAACATGTTCAAAATTCTTAACAATCATCCTTTATTAAAAAGAAATCATAAACGAATATTTTATGTAAATAAATTTATAAAGGATAGTTCTTATCATTCTAATATAAGATTTTAAGGATAGTTCTAAGACAAAATATTACGGATAGTTTTGCCACTATAAAATGAAGTATAAAGGATAGTACTAAAATAAAATGTACAGGAGTTGGGATAGTTCTTTAACTTTTTGGTTAATTTGTAAATGATTACAAAATATATAAAGTAAAACGTAAAACAAGTAAATTGGACATCTTAAATAGAAGTTGTCATACTTTGAAAAATCGTCAATATCAATATGTTATGATTTAATTTCAATGTTTACAAAATGGGTATTTCTTTGCTACAAGAAATAATTTAATTATATCAATGTTATGCAAGCATTGCTACAGTAGCATTTATTTATATCAAAAACTTAGAAATAACATATCTTTGCATGTTTACCATGTTGCATGTTTTACTTCGGCCGAGTATCTTTTTTGAAAGATACTTCTTCTTTTTTTCATAATTTATATTATCAATATACAATTTGTTGATCTTGTTTTTTTACATTATATATTATCTATATACAATTCTGCTGTAAAGTAGGTTTTTGGGAACACCAGGGTCTTTTCTATTTGAAAGAACCTGATAGCACATACAGATATTGTACAGTATTATAACTTTGTTCACTGAATTATGCACATACAAATATGCTATCAAAAATCATTGGCGTAAATTATTTGTTTGCTATAGATTGAATATTTTACAGAAAATGTGTGCAAATATCAAGGGATATCTCCTATTGTATATAGATATTTTCTGGAAAAAATCAGCTCCTTTTTTAGGGTTGTATTTCATAAGATGTTGTGCTTTTATTTATGCTAATTTACACAATAACATCATTTATTACATTTCACGGCAATATCCAGCATTTATCCCTGTATATGTATGTGACGTATGACCTAAAATGGTAGAACGTATCAAATGATAGACAAATTGCCTGCAGGAGAAAATACGACATATATTGTATTTGAAATGAGGTCGCTGCTAAAACCAATACATATTTTCTCTATGCAGCGCCGCACAATTAGCAACATGTCTCTTCATATTACTGCAAACCCACAAGAGACTATTAACACATAGACTAGAGCTATTGGTAAAGTGTAGGAATATTGGAAAAACGCTCAGTGATTCTGAAACGTCTATTACTGATCTTATTGACAAATGCTGTACTATGGAAACTCGTGACGCTTTTTTTCGTCCTTGGCGCATGCGTCAAAATTATTGACAAAAATTGTGATAACAAATGTGTCGATTTAAATCAATTATTGTTAAATCATGATTTTCTGACCGTTATAGTGGGTATCAGAAGAAGGATGTTAGTGTACATATGTAAATTCCAGGTAAGTCGTTCTTGAAAGCTAACTTTCACGACATATTTTAGTAGATCAATAGAAATTTTAATAACGTATGCATATTTAATGACTGATCGATATGTAGACTTTCGTAAAATATATATATTACCATAATCAGATGATAAGTATGATGTTACAAACAATTTCTGTTGGCTCTATATGTTTATTTCCATGGTTATATTCATGTATAGTATTTTATCTCACCTGTAATTAAAGGCTAGATGAGACAAATCAACCTGTTATGTAAAATAAATTACAACTCCATCAATGGAGAGCGTTTTAATCGATTGGGAGGAACACACAATAAATCTGTTATTTTATTCTGATATAAATTATAATTGTAGGATAGAGTTCTAAACGTTTGATTAAATATCAATTCAGCTGATGTTTCATTTATAAAACATAAAAAGAGTTGTTTGTTTACGAGGAAAGTACAGGTATTGTGTTTGCGAGAACTGGCACAAATTTTATGTTCAGGTATATACTTGAAGGAATTGGTAAATTTATGTCACCCAGCACCGGGTCGCGAGATCAAGGATCTTCTGTCACCTCCTCAAAGTCCGACACCCAGCATTTATAATCAGTACTATTTTACACCTTTTAGTCTGTTTCTAATGTTTTAAACGAATTTATGGTTAGTCTAATATCTGGCAAATCATTAAATTTCTTTGTAGACATATCTCCCAATGAGAAAAGTTAATGTTAATAAACATTTTTTCTGTTGCACACTGGACTGTATTTGCTTGAAATAACTTAAAATGAATGACTGAGATAAATAACATTTTTGATTCTACTTTCATTTCACTATATCTGATTCAATACTAAGTGCATTCAAATTAATGTAGTCTGTGAATGAAAATAATTAGATATTACTAGATATTACTATGTAACGGTTCTTTGTTGCCGTGGTTGTGTACGTTATGATTAAAATCAATTTTATCAAATTATTTTAAATATATTCGTGTCACGAAGCTAAATGATTTATTGATTTTATACACTATTTCACATTGAATATGTCTAAACTAGATTACTATAGAAAGTATAAAATGTGTTTTGGTTATGAAAGTTATCTGAGCATTATAAGAAATGATAAATTATGAAAGTGTTTAGAATTGAATTCGGAAGACTAAGTGGTTCACAAAGACACGAACGAATCTGTAAAATGTGTAATACAAAAATGATTGAATCAGAGTATCACTTTCTATTAACTTGTCCCGCATATGTTGATTTGAGAGCTTAATAAATTGGGTAATTGCTCATGGCCTTATGTACAGAAATGTGTTAAGTAGTAAATGTAAGCTGTATAAATCTGCTAAATACATATATGAGGCTTTCCAGTTAAGGAAGATATATCTAGAAACGGAAACTGCTTCTTAAACTTTGAAAATGTACATGTTTGCTTATATGTTTATATGCTTATCTTGTAAAGTATGTATGTTATATGTTTTGACCATATTCGTCGATTGTATTTGTTAAATTTGCCAAATAAAAACTGAAGCTATTTCATAAGGCAGTTTTATCGATAGTTAATTTTATTTTTCTCAGATTTTTCGATAATTTGAAAATATCCTGTTAATTTTGTCGTCATTTGTTTTCAATTTCTAGTTTCAGTAAACGACAAAAATTCATGTACAAAGACCTAGAAAAATCCGTCTTGGTTACTTAAATCATGACGTCACCACTTATACTTCTTGTGTTCGGAGCAGTCATTTCCGGTGTATTAGGGAGTCTATTTATCATCATATCCCTTGCAGTTGATTCATGGGAGGAAGTGACGTTTAATACAGATGTTTTGTCGAAATATCAAATAAACAACAGTGAATATTACTGTGTCATTGCATCCTCGTCATCTAATTTTAGTTTGCTCCGTCATAATAAAACGGAGGTAAAGAATGGAAATTTGACCAGTTCGTTCCAGTTTTATTACCTATACTCGACATACAGTGGTGTTTGGAGAATGTGTGATAATCTATCAGGTAATTTGTTTGATTCATGACGCAGCAATTAACAAGAATACAATGGCATGATCGATATTCCTGTAGTGCTTGAACTGACAACATGCGCTTAATTACTATCTAGTACAATGCGTTGCAAAATAGTTCCATATATTTTAGCAGTCTCTATATAAAACAATTTTGTTTGCTTTCCTTCTATGTGAACTATAATATCTAATATTATATTGTTATTGTTCGTTGTTTGAATGATTGATTGATATTGATTGATTGATTACGTTGTTAGTAATGTATAGTGTTTTTTTAATATATATAACTGACTTTTTCAAGCATGTTAAACTTTATATTCACGTCATTGATGCAGACATTTTAAAATCGGTGCATATATGTGCTGATATAGAGATAACACTGTTGTTCAGAGTCTGAACAAGTACATGACTAGATGCTGCACTCAAGCGAGGAATCAAAGTACTTGATAACACGTGTCAAAATTAAATAGGATATTTCTTTGGCTTTGAATCGCCTGTCGTCTTGAAAATTTATACGTTAACCGCGAATCCCGATATTGAACATATACTGTACTCAGGACTTTGAATTATTTTAATAATTGCTGCCAAAAACAAGCTTAAAAGCACTTTGAAATGTTGGTAGAATACACTTTTTTATACCAGATCTACTAACAGATTCAAGTACAAATTTTATTTTAGTCAACAATCATCTTTAGATCAACGACACTAAGACTAA